ATAGCCCAAAAACCAGTGATACAAATTATTCATTATATCAGAAAATATTGAAACATCTCCATACAGCTTATTAAATGATCTTGTTTCTCTTACAAATGCTTCAGAAGTGACAAAACCATTACTATGGCTATTTATAAGCACTGATGGATTCATTGTTGGGATCACCTCAGACTGCTTCAATTAAAGCTTTAATGGGAATGATTAAAATTAGTCACCGTCAAATTAACAGATTTATTTATTACATTTATTAGATATTTGGACCGACACTTAGCCTAAATGATTTTTAATTTTCTTGACAGGTGGCATTGTAGTTCAGTTCATGCTTGGAGGTATGACTAAAAGTTTTTATCACGGTGCTTCTGAAAAGTTCTAGCAGTTTTCATGGTGGCATTATTATTACTCTTATTACTGTTGTTATTATTGCTTGATTGGCCTTTATGTAGACTTATGTTGGCTTAATATACTGTCCGAAGTGCTTGGAATAAACATTTTATTGTTGTGATAAAAGCTAAACTGTTTCACCATCTTTACGGCTTTTATTCATTTGTCAGCGTGCGAGGGGGCAGTCTGGACACTTAGCTTTGCAATTGCGATAACTTGAGAACAAGGTGACGTGGGATTTTGAAATTGTTGCCATAGGCATATCTACTAAAAATCTCGGACCAGTACGAATTGCAGTGATCTCGACCTCAAGGTCAAGGTCAAAGGTCAGCTTTTCTGAAAATTCAATTCAGTTCAATTTTATTTATATAGCGCCAAATCACAACAACAGTCACCTCAAGGCGCTTTATATTGTACAGTAGATCGTACAATAATATGTACAGAGAAAAACCCAACAATCATATGACCCCCTATGAGGATTTTCAAATTCATACCATAGCTGCACCTAATAGAAGGCTGAGTAGTACTGGCAGCTACGGCTACAGCTGTTTGTGAAAGGTGCCTGTTAGCCCACAATAGCACGTTACCTCCACCTTAGCTGCTTTGCTGTGGGTGCACGTAGAGGAGCCGGCTGAGCATCTCTGGCAGTGGCGAACTGATGACTCGCCGGAACAAGTCTCTTTGAGCCACGTGGGCCACAGGAACTTTAAGTTCTTCATTCATTACCACGGCTCCACAGTTCATCAAACTTTTTGCTCACAGAGCTCTAATAGCTGTTGATTGGTGATTAGTAACAGTTCATGAAACATCCAGCTGTTTATGATGCGGGTAAACATCTTGACAAATACACCGCTATATGGCACGTTGTGTTGTTGAACATTTGTGCGTGTGTGATGTGTTTAGAGACTGTATTTAATATTGTAAACTCTCTCTAAGTCACTCTCTAGGAGAGACTATAAGCCACAATTTTACAGACTTTATGCATATCTTTCTCTTTTAATACATTTTAAGACCAAGAGCTGGCATCTGACATCAAGCAGTTATTGCTGGATAGCAGAAATACTGCTGTTGCTATGGCAATGGTCTTTTCTCCTCTTTTTCTTTTTTGGCAGTTTATCCTTTCACTTCCACCTTTTCATCATTTCTTTTTCTTTCTTTGAGTCTTTTTTCCCCCTTATTTTTGTTTGCTCAGTATTTGGTATATACTGATATGTGGTCACTTAACACACGTACTCCCACACGTGCCGGAGATCTGTGGGTCAGCAACACTGTAAATAACTTACAGAAACACATACAACACACACAAACCGATATCTAACATTAAGAAAGAGGAACAAACCAAACCAAACGGCTGCTCAGGAACACACTTGCTTCCATTACCTCGCTGCCTGTCGGTGTGTCTCTACCCTCTGTTGGGGGTGCTGCAGCTCTTTGTTACTCTTGCAGCATTTCAGCGCCCGACTACCATCAGCCTCATTGCAGCAGCGGTGGTTTGGAGGCCTGCTACTTTCTGCCACGCTTTGCTCGCTACACACTTTGTAGTGCTACAATCTGCAATCCCGTTACACAGCAGTCACCATATGATAGGCTGCATCAGGACCGTCTGCAAAGTTAATAGACGCTATCAAAGTGTGAATTGGCGATGTAATTCAATTCAGCTCGGTCTTAAAGCTTTGCCTAAAAGCACTGATCATGTGTGACGATTCCAGAGGTGTGTGTCACGAGCTCGGCAATTATAAAAAAAAAAAGATGATGTAGCTTCAGACTGGCCATCCTGCAAAGAGAGGGGACTCCATGTTCATTCTGATGAGACGCCAATAAAATCTATTTAAAGGAGCAACATTTTCCTTTTATTTAAAAGCTGGGAGAGATATTGTGAGAAATACTACATTTTTAAGACGCTGTGTTTTCTTATTTCCCCTTTTTGCTTTAAAATTGTATGCTGTGTCAGTCAGTGAATGAGCATTTGTTTGTGCACGCTGCCTCCTAGCATGTCCCCAGGCGTAACACCTGACTTGATAAGGTTGATCCAACCACCAGCTGTCTCCTGTGTCAGTATCCTCACAGATTGTCTGGCTTAGTTTATTCATATGTCACCATGTGGTCTTCCAGGTGAGTTTTTCATCCTCCCTTTCTTTCTTTTTAGGAAGCTTGACTGAACAGACCTCAGCTCTTACAGTTCTCTCCCAGCTGCTGAGAAATTTCTCCTTTATGTGCATGCCGGGCAGACGTACACATCTGCAGCCATCAGCTTTACCCTTCAATTCAGTATCTAAATTAATCCGTTTACTAACTTATATTTAAAATCGTGACAATTCTCCATTATAGCTCTGCCCACAGCCTAGTTGTGTAGTAATTTTATTCATGATTAATAACACAGCATTCCTTAGCAGGCTTTCTGTTACTTCCTTAAGGCTAAATCGAGATAAAAAAAAAATTCCCATTAAGTGTCAGGTTTAATTTCAAAAACCATATACAGTGAATAAAAACCAGCAAGTTATAAGGCAGATTGATAACCTTTTACTATTGCAGAAACTTTCAGTATATTTTTAATTAACCATTTATTCTGCAGTAAAGGAAAAAGTGGATTTCTGGATTCAGAATCGATGCTTATTGTGTTCGACAGCCCCGGTGGTGGTGGCTGACATTAAACATGGACACAATCTTAAATAATGAGGTCAGCAAATGCAAGTAATCCCTGTGAGTCAAAAGCTCAGGCTGTTTCCCGCTGTTTGTTCTGCTCTTGGCTCTATAATCTGTCATATATGCTTGATATGAATATCCTTAGAATGGTCAACTCATATAGGAAGTGACATATGCTGTGCAGACCTGTTTCAGATTGAAGATAAACTGAGCAGCCTGACCAAAGGTGAATTATTCTGAACTGTAAATCAGCCTGAGCTTCTCGAGAATTCGAGAATAAAAATGTGGAGCTGGACATAAGCATAATAGGTCCCCTTTTACAGGATCAGTTTCACCTCAGACCTTTGCTCTAGGCCAAAAGAAAACAAAGCCTCCCTCTGCAGTGATCAGCGTGTGTTTCAGATTTTGTTTTGAAGCACTTTAATGAGGAGTATTCACTGTTAACTATTGCAGTTTGGTGGTTTATATATAATCTAAAATATATAAATATTTGTGGACAGCAGCTCTTTCAGTCAACAGAAATGTTGCCTGCAACACTAACTTACCTGCAATTTAATATGACTGCAGAAAAGGTGTCACCAGGCCAGATATTTTTGAAAGTGTTTCACTCAAACCAGTTAAAGGCGAGGCAAACCTCGGGGAATTAACTATAAAAATTCTCTGTGTTCATGCAAAAGCGCGCACACACACACACACACACACACACACACTTTCTTGCACATGCATACATGTGCTTACACATACACACACATAGTCCCTTTTATGGTGGGAGGTGTTTGTGTTGTATTCTGTATTGTAACTATCATGTCAATAAATAGCTGCAAGGGAAGCTGCTCTTTGAAGGATTTTGGGCTGGAGACAGGAGCGTGAGCTCCAAGAGCTGGTTCTTGACCAAAAACTTCCCTCGCTAGTGGGTTGAAGATGTTCTGTTATGTCTTGTTTCATTCGTGATGAATAAGTCTCTAAACTAGCGGGGCTTCTGGAAACACAGACCCAACACAGACCGTGATCTGATCACAAAGACCTCTGATGTTTGTTGTTTGAGGTCAGAAACTCTGCAAATGACCTGGAGCTACAGGCTGGTTCACCTGCAGACTTCAGAGGCTGAACACACAGAGCTCCAGCTGTGCTGTGTCCTTTCTGTGCAGAATTAATTTGATTTTAAGAAAAATTCATATCAATTTCTGTTAATAAATATCTTTGTTTCGTGCATTACAGTAATGCACATGGTAAACAAAGTCATGCAAAAACGTCACCGATATAGAGGCAGCAGAAAATGAATTACAGATAAAAATACATGTTATGAAAGTTTGACCATATTTGACCCTAAAGAAGAGGTCGGAGTTCCATCTTTCACCAGCAAACACAGTAAGAAATATAGTTTTAAATAAACAGTTTTATATATAATTACTTTGACTTTCAGGTTGATCTATTGGCCTTAGGGAGAGTTCAGAGGTAAAATGTGACATATTTTAAATCTTTATACGTATAAATGTTGACATTACACAGTGCGCTTTTAAGGAGGCTTTTTGTCAATCTTTCAACAGCAAATCATAAAGTTGACCATGACGACCTCGGTGGATGTAAATCAAACTTTATTGGATCATAACATGATCCTGCTACAGCCTACAGAGTTTTATCAGAATACATTCAAAACTTTCAGAGCTGTTGTGTTTACAGACAGAATGAAATGCAAATGCTAGGAAAAACGTGAGCTTTTTGTTGAAGATGAGAAGAAACTGCTGAAACCATTTTAAGCTAATTTTTGGTTTACACATGATCTGTACTGATCTGACGCAGTATGTAATAAAGTGAAACCTTCCCTGTGTTTGTCATGATCAGTGTTTACCTGATGAATAGGCTTTGCATCAAGGAATGTTAGAAACTGATCCGACCTGAGTGTCTGGTTTGCAGTGACATGTTTATCCTTGTCTAAGTTCCTGTTACCTACTCGGCTCCAACAAACTCGTTTCACTTTCACAGCAACAGTTTGGATCACTGTGTCGGAGTCTGGGGTCTTTATCTGTGGTAAGTCTTGTTTTTTGTTTTTTTTTTGAGTTGGAGAACTCAAAAAACAAGAAACTAATAATGAAAAAAAAATGTGTGATGGAAAAACATAGGGATTTTTTTCTACATGTTACTGAATAAAGTCAGACTGTTGTTTCTCTGTCAAACCGTGAGCACATACAAGATGATAAATGTTTCTGTCAGTTGTTAAAAGCTCCCACAAAGCTCCAAATGTAGCAGCAAAGTGAGAAAAGCTGTATTTATGTTTATAAAGACTTTGGACTTATCGAGGTGACTTAAAAGAAACTCTGAGCTTTCAGTTATGGTTATGAGCTTAAGTTACACTGATATGGAAAGAGGTTAATTTCAAAATAAAAGGCCATAACCTAACCCCAACCCTGCTGAATAATCTCAGTTAAAGATGATCATTTTAACAAGTGAACACAGTATCACAGTATCTGCTTCTTAAGAAAAATAAATGTAACCTAATTATTTTGGATGTTAGTGTTTTGTTCTGAATATGCAGATTGATGTTTCTGATGAGTGTTTCACGGACCACCATCAGACACTTTTCTTTAATATATTTGTCAAATAGAGTTAAACACTGAGCTGACAACAGACTGTTGCTGATTGGTCTGCTGTTTACACAGTGGGTGGAAAACTCACATGAATCATTTCAGTTTCTCCTTTGAGAATGACTGCTTGATACAAACTCAGGAGCCCAGCTGTCTGAGACGACTGAAGATGAAGCACATTTGTTGAATTTGCATAGATTAAACTGAGTTTGCACCTGTCTGTGTTGAACTGTGTCAATCATCAGTTAACACGACTTTTCAGCTTCCTCAGAAATAATCCTTAAAGTTTGAAGGTGTTTGGGTAAATTCGTCATCAAATCATCAGATTTGTTCTGCTCTCTGTCAATCAAAGTTAGAGAAGAAAATATAGTAACGATTCAAGAGGAAGCACTATGCCAAAGACTCGTGCCTCATTCTGACGTTCATGTTCAGTATCACTTATTCCAGTAATGTGTTGGTGTCTCATAGTTATTGTTCATTTGTAATGTGATTTTCAGCTATTTTTCTAGTTTGAGACTGCTGTGCATATTAATGAGCTCTGTTCAGCACAACAGATGCTGTGTCAGTCCCTCATCTGTGGAAACAGCTTCCAGTTTGGATTCGGGAGACAGACACTATCTCTACTTTCAAGATTAGGCTTAAAACTTTCCTTTTTGCTAAAGCATATAGTTAGGGCTGGACCAGGTAACCCTGAATCCTCCCTTAGTTATGCTGGGTAAATGCAGTAAAATATGTCCAATAATTGACATTTCAGCAGCTGCACCACCAATATTAATACCAACAACAACACTACAGCATTCAACACATGTGTGCTACAGAAAAGGTCTGTGTGCTTTGGTGAGCAGCTGGAAGCCTGCACAGACAGAAAAGTTTAGAGAAACACTGCAAACAAACACACACTGCCTCACAGCATCTGTGGGATCAGCCTGGACGTTTTGGTCCAGGCTGATCTTTTCTCCCAGTACAAGCCTGACCAGAATATTTAAAATCATCATTCTCTGTTATTGAATCAGTGATGATCTAATGGTCTGTTTACATATAAACTATTTTGAAACTGCTTAATAGCTAAACACTGAAACAGCTTCTTGAATGTGACTTCTGTCACGGTTTGTCTGGGCAAAGGATCCAAATGCTGCGGTGAACAGTGCGTTTATTTACAGTGCAGTAAATATTCACACAAACAATCCCGATGCATTCCCCTGACTCCCGTGCCGTGTCTTCTTCCCCAATAAGTCCGTGCCTCGTGCTCTCCGCTCCCGTGTGTCTGCTCTCCACGTGCTCGCTGGCTTTCCAGGCTCTTTTTGAAAGAAACGATAGAAGCAGCTATCAGGACACTCAACTACTGTGGGCATACACTCACTGGACTTAACACTAACAACACTAATGTGGAGTCTCATGCAACAGTCCAGCGTCAAGGAACGCTCGGACAAACTATTAAATAGCTCCCAGACGAGGCTTGATCAACTTCAGGTGTGTGTGCGTTTCTCGTCCTCAGGTGTGGCCAGGCTCCTGGCTGACACCCCCACCAGGGCTGAGGAAGAGGTGCTCTGCCACACCCACATACACACCCAGCTATACACAAACATTAGGAAGCAGGACAGCAGCACAAAAAATACACGTCCATACTTATTCAAAGACCCTGGGTCCTTCAGACAAAGGTCCGTGACAATTTCACTGGAACTGAACCTGTTTTCCTGTTATTGTTACAGAGTGGAGGAACTCATTGATCCACAGTACAGGATCTGCAGTCTGGAGATGATGTTCAGAGTAGACAAATGAAGAAACGCGCCACAGAGAATCTTGAGGTGAGATTTCTTTAATGTTGTTAAAGAATCAGAAACAGTAACATTTAGAATAAAACACATGATGTTATATTAGTTTGCTGGGCTGCTTCCTGTGAGATGCAGAGAGTAACAGGAAGCTTGTTTTGCTTGTTGATTTTCAGAGTAATGAGTGATGGCTCTTCAGGAGATCAGTGTGATCTTCACACACAGACCCTCGGCCTTCTCTGCTGCTGTGCTGCTTCTAACACTCGTCCTCTGCAGAGGTGAGTATACAGATGTTTAGCAGAGTCACACTTTATACAAATGATTAAGCTCAGAATCTGAATCATGAAAAACTCAAAGAACTCAAACCTTCGTTTATTCCTGTGTTTTACAGTTCTGATGTTGTATAAAGTTGTGAGTGTGTCTGCTCCTCTCTGTCTCCTCAACAGGATCATTTGTAGTGGATGTGACACAGAGCTCCTATCAGGCAGAGGAGAACCACAACATCACACTGGAGTGGACGTTCACCACCAAACCAGACACGTCCATCTCAGCACTGAACATCCTCTGTTACATGAAAAAAGATCAGAAACCCTCAACTCTGTATTATCTGCTTGATGGTGTCGAGTTCTCAGAGGATGAAGAGTTTTCAGGACGAGTCCAGAGTGACAAAGACGCCCTCAGAGAAGGACGAATCAGACTCCAGCTGTCCAGACTCAGGACTAAGGACTCGGGTCTGTACCTGTGTGAGGTGGACACAGGTTATGGCCGCGGCTACAACAGCTGCAGAGTCACAGTCTCTGGTAAGACAATTCATTTATACACATGTGATCACTGTGAGCTGTTAACGTCAATCATGGTTCAAACCTGAGATAAAATTGGTGTGTATAATTGTTACAGGGTTTCAAAGTGATGAACACAAATCTTTAGTTTCCACTTTCATAACAACAGTGTCTTTATAAATATCCTGTTTGATTGATGGAGTTTCAGACACCAGCAGCTGTAGCCCCACTTTCACTGATTTGAGTCCATGAACTGGATCTTCTTCACTCTTCTAGAGCTGATGTTTCCTTTTCGAGCATTTTTAATAGAATTACCAGAAAAACTGTGTAGTTAGAAAATTACATCCATAAACTGCATCACACAGACACACACCTGCTAATTAGTGCTGAGTACAGTAACAGACATATAGGAAGTCTACACAGAGATTATATGAAACTATCCATGGAGACCAACACTGGTTCATGTAGAAGACTGTAAACATGATTATTTCTGCTTTAAGTCGGACTTTTTAACACAAGAGTCTTTGTGGCTTACACACACGTGAGGCTAATTCTTCATGGAGCTGCTGGTCCAGGTAACATCCCTGAAGGAGGCCTCTGAGTCTGAGTCGACCACAGAAATCCACAGTGTCCAACCTCAGTGACACTGTTACTGAGCAGCTTCATCAGGACATGTGAGGAAACCAACACTGAAGAGCTACAAACTGTTTCTCTCATCACAACAGTTTGTTTGTTTTTTGGTTCTTCATTGTGCTTTACACAACTTGTACATTCACCCATTGACACGAGCCCTTTTTGGTCTATACTGTCTCACATGTTCACAGTGTTTAACATTCACAGACATTCATACTGTGATGATGCATCACAGACAAAAAAAATATTTAGCACGCAAACTGGGACCGAACTACCGACCTTTTGATTAGTAAGTGACCTGCTCTACCACCTGAGCTAAAATTTAAAAAAAATATGTTATTTTTTTAATTTCAGAATCAAAATCTGGGAAGACCGAAACAACTCCGCAACCTGGAAATTTCCAGAGGCCAGATTTGGATGATGTGACCAAAGGCATAAGTAAATATATATATATATATATATATATATATATATATATATATATATATATATATATATATATATATATATATATATATATATAAATAATAATAACTTTACAGTTTACAAAAACACTAAAATCATTCATTTGTTATATTGTTTATACACAGTACAGTCAGGAGATATGGGCCAAATCTGAGCACTGTATTAATTTACCAGAACAGAATACACAGTTTTCTAGGAATGGATTTAGTTCAGTCTCAGACTAAAGAGAGTCTAAGACTAGGCTCGTTCTATGGAAGTGAAACTGAGTCTATATGAACAACAAAGTAAAATCCTCCCATAAACCTGCAGCTCTTTCAGGTAAACATACTGAGGTTCTGCTTCAAAATGTCAAATATCAGTTTTATACAGTTCTGGGTTTTGGGGCCTCGAGTCTTTCCTGGCTGTCATTGGGCAAAAGGCCCGATGTAAGCTGGAGGTCACCAGACTGTAAGTGGTGATAAATTAAATTCTCTGTGCATCAGAAACATGTAAATAAAGTCTGGTGTTCACCTCCCAGAGTAATACTGGTTATTTAATGGTCAATTCCACTTCCTGTCTTTAAAATGTGCTCGTTTATATCATTAACACTGAATTATGTTTTTCCTGTTTTTGTACTTTAGAATTTTTCCTGGTACTCTGGTTAGCAATCATCGTGGCTGTATACATCTGTATCTCTCTGGTCTCATGGGGATTTATTGTTTATCAGAATTGTAAAGAACACGTAAGTCTGTCAGAAAAACAGGATTTTCTTGTAAGTTTTGTAAATATAAAATGATCAAAACACATTTTTTGACACATGGTTTGTGTCAGAATATCATTTGCTCTGTCACAGTTTAAAGTTTCTTAAACTTGTCGTGTTCAGTATAACTCAGTGAATCTTTGAATTGTCTTTCATTTTAAACAGAAAACAGACCTCCTCATACAAAACCAGGAAGTTAATGAGGAAGAAGCTCTCAGCAGGTAAACCTTCTAGTTCAGATTCATGATGACAACATCAGCTGGGAGCCGCAGATCTCGGACTGTGAATAGAAACTACTTATAACATCATGAGGAAAAACGAAATTTAAGGTTTTCAATTTGATGCTGTTCAGTAAGTTGGCGCTGAGAACCATTGGAGAGAATAAAAAAGAACACAAACAACAGAGAAAAGATTTAAATTCAGGGCTTCAGTCCAATATTGTTATCCTTCAACTCATTTGAATTATAAATATACTGAGAGGTTAAAATAAAAACAGGATCATTTCAAGTAAAACACAAACAGCATTAACAGGATGGAGCTTCATGTTTCATGCTTAATAAACTCTTGTGATGACATTTAAAGAATCAGCATTTTAATTGTTTCTGACGCTGGGAAACAAGAAAGGGTTAGAAGATAAACTGCTGGGTGCTGCTAACAGAAACGTTTCTAATCATTGTTTCAGCTTTATAATCTTAACATAAGTAAAGCATAATATGATGGAATACTCAGAAATATTATAAAATATTTAAAATACTGCAATGTAAAAAATACACAGGGCCTGTGTCACACCCTCATACTCATACTACACGAAAACTGTCTTAGTTTGTCTTGGAGTTGAAAGCTTCATCATGTAGTTGCTGCGATTCTCTCTAGAAGTTAAACAGCTTTAGAAGATTGAAAAAAAAAGCTTATTTTTTTTCATAAAAACCAAAACCTACAGAGCGCTGGAGGGCTTGTTTCCTTAGGCCTTCCCGGTGGTTAGGAACAAATACAGTCACATGGCAGGATGCTGTAAACGGACTAAACTTCAGTCAGGAGAACAACTGCAATATGTGGTTAGTCATTTATACGTATAATATAATATATATAATAACATAATGCTGCATGGGCTGCGCTGTAGTTACATTGTAAGGTTTTAAAAACTGAGCTTTAAAATGAAAAGTGATGATAAAAACTGTGAGGGGTCGACAGTGATCACTAACTTTTTTCAGGGGCTTGTTCAAATTAAATAGAACAAGATACAAAACATTAAAACATGTTAGAAACACAACCGCCTTAATAAATGCAGAGTAGTTTGGAAGCAGCTTTCATCATGTCATCACTTAAAGACCGGATAACCCCCTGTTGTGAATGTTTTAATGCAGTACAGTTGTTATTGTTATCACTTGTCCTGTTTATGACAGTTAAAACAAGAAAAACATTAATATAAGAAATGAAATTGTCTCATGTAAACTGTATGTGGTGTTAAATAGGCCTATACTACCGTACTTTAATGACGGTCATAAGGGTACTTCAAGAGCCATATACTTTATGAGGTGGTACTCATTGTGAAAAGTTTGAGAACCACTGCTTTAGTAAAAGTTGAAGTACTGACTTAACTTCTTTACTCAAGTAAAAGTGAGAAAGTACTAGCTCTGACATATTTCTGTTGTCTACATTGTAGACGGTGATTTTGCCTCTAAACAGGAAAATTATTACAGTCAGGGGTTAAAGTGGATTCAGCAGGTGGAGGAACCCTAAAATTGGTTGTAGTGGCTCAGTGGGCAAACAAATCAGGACTCAGAATAATTACTGCTGAGAGCTTCAGTAGATTTTCGTCATGTACAGGCTGTGATCATCCGACCTGCTGCTCTTTGTGGATTTAACAACTTAATTCAACCAGATGTCAGCAGATGTTTGATGAGTTGTCCTGGCTCATTTTTCATCCTTTATGCAGACAGTACAACGTTTATACTGTCTTTATGTTAGACAGTATGTAGTTGGTACAAAAGTGGAGTTCAGTCAATGGATCTCAGGATCACCAGTTAAAATTCTGCTACACTTGATGTAACCTAACTCTGAGCATGAATCCACAGCCACTGTGCACCAGTCACACACATTAAAGTTGTTTTTGTTTTCTTTGGCTGGCTCAAGCTTAAATACATACAAATACATATAAACTAATTATTGTGCTGCATTACTAAAACCTGCCGTACTCCTGCTATACAGGTGAAAATAGAACAACCGGACTGCTGAGTCTTGGATTATTTTTATTTTCTGCTGTGTTTTACTTGCATCTATTTAAAAGACTGACTGTAAACACAAAAACCTATTTTATTTTATGCGCAGGAATGTGCATAAAATAGGTTTAAATGTTAAACTAATTTCTTCCAGTCAGAGAATGTTGCATATAATTTAATTTTTGTCTGATGCATTCACACTCCTACCATCTGGAAAAAGGTACCGAAGCATTCGGGCACACACATCCAGACTGTGCAACAGCTTTTTTCCACAAGCCATCCGTCTCCTCAACAAAAAGGGACTGGACTGATAAACACACACACGCGCACACGCACATATACACACACACACACACACAACATTATCACTCAGCTTAACTTAACTACCTCAAGCATTGAGTCTAAACTGACTAATCAACACAAGCACAAACACACCGACCCACACCGACCTACACCATCAAACTATCGTATACACCAACCTGTAAATGCTCTTTTGCACAATATTATTACTGGTCTTTTTGCACTAACTTCTTTACTTCCTAGTCTTCCTTAGATAGTTAGATAGTTAGGTTTTTTTTTTTGTTAATTTATGTTGTAATTTATGTTAGGTCAGTCTGTCTTGTCTCTGCTAGCTAACTAGGCCTCTTAGTTAGCTAATTTAGTGTTTTTCTCTGTTAACTTATGTTGTAAGTTTATGTTGCATGTAGCACCTTGGTCCTGGAGGAACGTTCTTTCGTTTCACTGTGAACTAAATGTATATGGTTGAAGTGACAATAAAGCCAACTTGAACTTGAACTTGAAAGTTAAAATATTGAAACTAATAAAAAAAATTTAAAAAGTGAATTTTTCCATTTGGTTACATAGTAGATTTGGGTTGAATGATTTATTGCTTTATCACATATTTAGGTTGTAAATCATGTTTTAAAAATGTGACAAAGTAACTAATTAATTTCGAAAAAGAGTAATCAGTAAAGTAATGGGATTACTTTTTAGGGGAAGTAATCAGTAATTAGTTACTGATCACTGATTACTGATCAGCATAAAGTTAACAAGCAAGTTTGACAAACTGTTACAGCGCAAACATATCAGCACTTTCAGCACCAACTAACACCTGCAGTCACATTTGGCGCCCCCTACTGTCACTCTGTAATGACTGCAGGAAGAAGGTCTAAATGTGAATGAAAGCAGCACAGAGTCAGGAGCAGAGAGGTCCTTGAAGCTGCAGATCAGACTGTAAAGATGAATTGTTGAGGAGGAAGAAGCAGATGTGAAGTTTTCAGTGTGACAGCATGTTGTCAGTCAGAGCTGCTCACAGTTTAAATGTGGGACTAGAAGGAAGGACGAGAGCAGTATTACTGCACATCAGCCAGTAGAGGGCAGCGCTCTCATGAACTAACATCTGCGTCCATCATCTCACACATCAGCACTTTGATTGTTTATATTTTATGCTCTAGATTGTTTTAAGGTAACAGTGTCTTCCTAATATACTGAGGATGAGGATCCACTCACCAACAAATAATTTCAGTCTGAGAGCTGAAGTTTGTCTTTCAGCTGAATCAGATGGCTGATTAATTCATAAACAGATGTTGCTGTTATTGTAAATAAATAGTTGTTTCCTGAGTTTGAGCCTCTTCTAGTCTCTCGTTGCTCTTCAGTGTGTGAGCCCAGCTGTGACAGTGTGTCAGTACATACATCATGTTGGACATCATGTGTATCATAATCAGTGATTGTCTTTTTCTTCTATCATTATTCTGTAGTGAACGCATAATAATGACTGAGACTAGACTTATCATTACTTTGACTTACAGGTTAATCTGTTGACTTTAGGTAAAGGTCAGAGGTCAAAGGGGTCTTTTTTTAAAATATATTTTAAATCTTGGTACCCTACTTTCTAAATGTTGACCTTACACAGCACACTAGCAAGAATCATCATATCTAAGTTTTAATGCTTTTCTGCTGAAACCATTTTGAGCTCCTCTTTGTGAAGCTGTTCCCGTGTTTGTAGTGCTCACTGTTTACTGATATATACACCATTAAATGTGCAGCAATGACCTTTAGAAACTGATCAGACAAGAGTTTCTGGTTTGGAGTGACACATTAATCCTTGTCTCAATTTGTTACCTGTTTGGCTCCAGTGACTCATTTCACTTTGACATCGACAGTTTGGATCACTGTGTCAGAGTCTGGGGTCTTCATCTGTGCTAAGTCTTCTTTTTATTTGTTTGTTTGTTTGTTTGTTTTGGTGTCAGAGAATTCGACAGACAAGAACCTTCATCTATGTTTGTAAAGAACTGTTCTTGGAGCATAAACGAATAAATTCTTTACAAATCCTACCATGTGGATTCATGGATTTTTTTTTTCACATTCTGTCTCTCACAGTTGAAGTGTACCTCTGGTGCAAATTACTGACCTGTCATCATTTTAGGTGGGGGAATTTGCACAATCGGTGGCTGACTAAATACTTTTTGCCCCACTGTATATACTACAATATATACTACAAATATATTGCAGTATTAAAAAAAACAGATAAGCGCACTAAAGGGTTTGCCACTTTGCAGAAAACCAGGACTCAATTGCAGGACTTCTTTAGCAGAGACAGTGAATTATTTACTGTGAAATCGGTGCAAAAACAACCGTTCCAAAAATTTGACATTCACAGCAGTGTAATCCCAGCTCTCAGTGCGATGCTCCACGTACAAAAACACTCCATCCACAGCTCCTCCAATTTACAACGAGTCTCTGAGCTTTCTCCATCTCCACTCCATAGGAGAACACAGGTAAGTAATCCTCACATAACAAGACTGTCTGTTTGTTATACAACAACCCAGCGCTGACTACAACTTAGATACTCTCCTGAATATTGGCTTTTAACCAGGCAGGAACGTGCAGCCCCGAAACTGAAGCTGAAAGTCCTCAAAGTCCTGATGCTGCACAAAGACGAGAACACCGGAATGTGCACACACAAAGACACACACACACACACAGAAAGACACACAGATAGTGAAG